CAACCCATTTCATTTATGAGGGTTGTTGAATCTCTCACCTACTAATTCTCTCTCTACAATTACTCCTCTCGCTCTATAATAATTTCCCATGAATACTCTAAGTATAACTGAAGTGTGGACCTCATTATCAGAGGTCGTCCTCGTAATTAATATAAAAAGCTCCTTATTTCCGTACATCTAATTTAGTCCTTATCTTTCCCACTACTAAATCTTTATTTAACCGTTGATCGGATCCTACCATCAACATATGTAATCAGTAAGTCAATGTATAATTAATGTATATTTGCCATTGAGTTAACAAAAAATAATTATATATAAGATTTTCCAATAAATAAATCTTATATATGCTAAATGATCTCCTCCCCACCAAAACGAAGTTTTGTCCATTATACATATATATATAGAGATTTTTATCAGTTGTGTATCATTTTAGTGATTACAAAATGTCAATTATGAAACTTGAGTATAATTTTTTATTTATTCAATTTAGTTGAGACATATAGTTGGCATTTATTTTTCACATAAATCATGAGTAATGCTCCCCTACCCACGGTGGGCATGTGTTAATATGCCCACCGCTTACGTGGCATGCACACATTGGTGATGTTAATATGTTTAAAATAATACATCACCAATGTGTGCATGACACATAAGCGGTGGACATATTAACATGTGCCCACCGTGGGTAGGGGAGCATTCCTCCATAAATCATATATATGTGTGTGTCAATGTGTGTGTGTGTGTGTGTGTGTGTGTGTTGCACCTTTTTTTATGGTCATTTCTTAATTTGGCAATATAAATTAAGGATAAGTCACTATTTGATACCATAATTTCAGCCCGAAATTCAATGTCAAATAACAATTAGGTTGTAACTTTTTTAAAAATACTAGTACGTAACCCGTGCGATGCACGGACAATATTTATTTTGGTCAAGGTTATTAATCAATAAGTTATAATACGTATAGCATTTGTCAAGTTACCATAAAAAAAATTGTCATGAAAATTTATTATTAAAAACCTCTTTATACACAACATTATTAGTTTGATTGTCGGGCAACTCATCGTTCTCACAAACTAATACTTTCAACCCCTTCATATTAGTTACACACAAAACAACAGTATATAACTGGCCTTGACTAAATATCGATTTTTTAAGAGCATGTCAAAATGAGAAAATATAAGACTCTGACTCTTGTTTATGGTCATGGTATACAAAATCATAAGGGGGTCTGCCTACGCTGGAACGTAAACGGAACCCTAACATCGGAATCAACACATTCTCACCTTCATGATCTCTAGTCAATATCTTACATTCAAGCACATGAGTAGAAAACTTGGTAACAACCAAGCGTGTTCTATTGCACAGTCCATAGAATGGTCCACGTTCCTTAATAACATGATTGGAGTTCCAATTTTCAAATGCAATTCATGGTTCGGTGTTCCTGAAAGCTTGATGCTATTCAAGAACTCGGAAGTGTGGAGATTTTACCCAAAACAAAAAAAAAGTTATTATTCGAGTGAGACTTCCACATAATGTCAGAGCTCAAATACATACGACCTTCATCAGAATTCATCTACGACATGTATTAATTGATAGACTCAACGACCTCCAAAGTAGGCGCTAATAGAGCACTATCATTCAAATATCTTGAATTGTCAGTTGTATTCTTGAACATTGGATAGATACTTTTCACGATTGTAGCAATTGGATCATTGAAGGGTTTCAGTCTTGTAACTTCTAGAATGTTAATGTAGGTACAACCATCGCTTGATCCTCCTACAGGCCCATCTCCAATGCTAACAATCCAATTAGTAAACGTTGCTACGTGACATCGTCCGAATCAGAAATGTTCTGAAGACGCATGTTTTTTGAAAGTCGCAACACAGTACAATCCTTCCAAATGGTGGAAGCATTAATGTTGCATTCACAATATCCTAACAACTTCTCTTTGAAATGACTGGAAGTTATTTGTCAGAAGTCTCCACAAAAAAAATAACGAAAGGAAAGTGAAAAGATAAAAGAAACAATAAACAATATTATAACTCAATATTATGAAAAATAATTTTTATGATGTTATGATAAGAATTAGGAAATTTACTCTCAAACACGCGAACCACTCGAAGTTGCAACATAACTCTCTTTGCTCGCTCAACTTCCTCGATAAGACCGAAAGGTTGATCTATTTTTTGTTTGGCACTTACTATGGATTCACTAATTACTCGTATGTTCGTCAATGGTGATTTTTTTGTGTGGGGTTGATATGATACTTATAAGCATATTAATCGTTTTAATAACAAATAATATGGAAATAAAATTACATTGAATGCTAATGGTAATTTTTATTCATATTGTATATATTTTTCACGTGAATGCTAATTTTGTATCATCAAAATTGTGTATTTTTTCATGCGTTGTTTATTATGTTTTTTATTTTTAAGACTGAGAATGTTGTAGTTGTTTATATTGCACTTTTATATCTTATTTTTAATAAAAAAAAGCTATAAAATTTCAAATTGTGAATATAACATGTCTAATACCATTGAACGCTAATGGTGATTTTTATTCATATTGCATATTTTTTCACGTGAATGCTAATTGTTTATCATCAAAATTGTATATTTTTTTCACCCGCTGTTTATTACGTTTTTTATTGGAAAGACTGAGAATGTTGTAGTTGTTTATATTGCACTTTTATATCTTATTTATATATATAAAAAAACTATAAAATCTCAAATTGTGAATATAACATGTCTAATACCATTGATGATTTAAAGTTTGTTTGTAAATAAAAATAAAAAATATATATTGCCCATTTGTAAAATGTGATTTCAATTTTAATCAATAATTTATAAAATCTGATAGATAGAAAAAATTACACTCAACAAAATTATTTTCATACAAACCGTGATTTTATAAAATGATTTGATAAAACGAATTTTATTTTTAATAAGTAATTTTATAAAACCTGGTAGATATAAAAAATATTAGTCGAGAAAAAGATTTTATGAAAAGGTTTGATTTTAAATTAATTGAAAACGTATACAACAACAAAGGATCCAAGAATCTAAATAAAAATGATTTGACAATATCACTGATTTTTTATAATATGTTGTTATGAAGATAAAATACCCAACATCTACCATAATTAGTGGATAATGACAAATTAAAATAATTTGAGTGTAAATAAATTGCTATGTATAAAATAAATCGCTATAAATATGCTAACAGAATATTGCATGCACCATTAAATCCGCTAACAAATATGCTATAACAGAATATATCTAACGGAATATTTAAATACAATCCGGATTCTATTTTAATAGGAAACTATAGTAATGTAATTAATATTTTTTCATTTAAAATAGATTCTAAAATTATCATATTTAGTGTGTAATTAATGTTTTTGGCGGGAAAGACTTTCTAAAAGTGAATTATGTTAATCCTTATTATATATTAACTAGTACGTACCCCGTGCGATGCACGGGATATAGATGTTAAATGAGTTATTTTCACAATCTTGTCCGTTTAAGTCTAAAAAGTATAGAGTTATTATTTATTTTCTACATATTTTATCAACGTTAAGTCTAAAAAACAATAGGGTTATAAAATTTTATTTTCACACCCTTTGTCCATTTAAGTCTAAAAAGTAATAGGGTTATTATCTATTTTCTACATATTTTATCAACGTTAAGTCTAAAAAATATAGAAAATACGTTTAGAGTTTTATCAGATAAATTTTTAAACTATTTATGATTATAAAATCAATATTCAAATATAAACATATTTATCATATAAGGAATGATGTATCTATGGAGTGCACTGAAAAAAAATTTGAGCGTAATAATTTTTATAATTTGTGTAATTACTAAAAATGGATTTCAACACGTACTCAAATTGTGTCATTTTGACATGATCGTGTGTATTCAAATTCCAGTTCAATTCATAAATTCAATTTATAAAAACATAATTAATCGATTATAATAATTGATGTACATGATCGTGTGTATTTCTTGTTCAAATACAATAACTAACAATTGATTTACAATTTATAATAGAATCTGCATCAATGCAATTATGTATAATCGTCAAAATGTGTATCCGATACCTATATATATTAATGTTTATTTAATGGGTCTGAGTTATTAGTATGATGATATATTATAGTAAGTGTATATTTCCACGTACTCAAATATGATTGATTCTTAAAAAGAACCTTTAATTGACAATTATTAATTAAATATTTTATATTGTATTTTAAAAAATTTTAGAAATACGTATGGTAAGTGTTAAATTAAGTGCATTAAGTATGGTAAGTGTATTTTTTAGATTTATTTGAATTTTGATTTCATATTTTTTATTGTATTCCTAAAAAAAACGGATAAAACAGATATGCTAATAAATAAAGATTTTGTTAATGTACTATTTTTAGGCAATAATTAATGAAATTGGCGAGAAAATATTTCTAAAAGTGAATTATGTTAATCCTTATTATATATTAATAGATAAATTTTCTTTATTTTTTTATTCGCATATTTCATTTTTCTTCTCATTTTATATAAAATCTATATATAAAATTTTATTTGCATTTTGAATTATAGTGTGAATAATAATATATGATTGAATTCGATTGGTTTACTAAGTTACACGCAGCCACGCCCACGCGCCATGCCCCAAACCTCCTCTAAAACAAAAAAAAAAACCAAAGGCAAACCATAATACGCATGTGGCATAAACCCTAGCTTACCCTCCATCTCTACTCTACGGACACGTGGCGTCAGCCACTCCCCCCTCAACCCCATTAATTTCTCCATTTCTTTTTTCTACGAAACAAATAATAAAAAAATAAATAAATATAAGGAAAACAAAAAACAAAAATGCCTCAAGACTCCAACTCAAGCAACTCGCCCTCTCTCTCTCTCTCTCTCTACAAAACCCCAACCATTTGCTATAAGATTAATATAGAAGAAAACACACACACACACACACAAACAAACCCACAATGGAGCAGAGCAAAACCACAATTACCCAAATCTCCCTGCTAGCTTCCGCCACGAAGGACGAAATCGCCGTCGCCCAACTCCTGCTCGATCTCAGAACGCTTCTCTCGTTAACCGAATCCCTGGCGAGTTTCAATTGGGGCCGCCGGAGGAGGAGATCTTGCCTGGACGAGAATCCGTCGCCGGGACTCGAGATCAAGGAGACGAGGCCGCGAATCGAGGCGGCGGCGGTGGGGAAGAGCATCGGCGGCGGCGGCGGCGGCGGCGGCAGCCCCACCACGCCGCTGTCTTTCTCCCCGAGCGAGTCCGACGATAAATCCAAGTGCAGGAGAACAACTCCGAAGAAAAGGGTGCTTGATTTGATTTTTCTTCACTTTGTTTGTTTAATCCGTATTTTTCTTTACGGTTTAATTAATTAATTAATTAAAGCTCTTATCTGTATTCCCCTGTTTGGATTGTGCTTTATCCCCCAATTTTACTAATCACCTGCTTTTAAGCTTTTCTTCTTCGTTTGTTTGAAGAATATATATCAAGCAGTTATTATTAATTGATTAGTTTCTTCGTTTTTGATTTGTAGGGAAGGGATGAATATTTTGATGCCATTGAAGGATTAACTCGAAGCAGGGACGTGCTTAGACTGGTCAGTTTTCTTTCTTCTTTTTCTCC